TATCCACCCTTTTAACTGGGCAGGGCAACGTTCTCATTTCGAAATCTGACACACAGCAAGGTAAGAGGTTGTTATGTAGGGGATTTTGCAATCCAAATGCTGAATGTATAAGAAGTTTTCTGTCTTTCCTCGTGAAATAAAATAGCCAAACTCTTACTGTCACCTCCTCTGTTGTGGTGCTCAGAGAAACCAACAGCTTGATATTAGTGTGCTTTTCAACTTTTTGTATGGATGTCAATCAAATGTCATGGATTCAGTGCTCATGTTGTTGTAGCTTTCCTTTCGCTGGCCCTTTTGGGACGTACACACGTTTAAATTACTCATTACTGAAGTGCTAACCTGCCCTGCATTTAATCAATTAAATATTCTCTCCCTCCTTCTGTGCAACCTGGAATTCTGGGTGTGCATTCAGGTGTTGCTCCCTGTGCATAAAACTTTGTTGTCCACAGTAATTTCCATCACTTCCTAAATGGTTTTCTCAGTAATACAACATCTAAATATGCCATCTAATTTGTTCTGTTAGTTGCAGACTTCTAAGAGTCTTTTCCATTCAGTTTGAGATCTTAATTCCCTTCCTTTCTTTTTTTTTAAGCTACTTCACTTTTCAGGGTGTTCTGATTTAAGGTGTGTTCAATAAAGCAGGCATTGTGTAGGTGCTGCTGGTGGAAGTTCAAGGGTGTGAAGTGTGTTTCCATGCTCTCAGTGTTATTTGTATCAACAGCAAAAGGTCCCAAAAATTAGTAAATAGGAATGTTCATCCTGGAAATTGTAGATGTGATGCAGTCTCTAAAAAATGAAGGATGCTACTTTTGCTTACTAGAAGTAGAATGGAAAGCCCATTTGGTATTTCTGAAAATATTCAGTTTCAGACAGCTAAACATTTAATTAAAAAAAAAAATAAAATTGTGTTTTCCCATCCTGAGGGCCACTGAGATGAAAGCAGGAGCAATGTGGTTCACAGTGCTTTCAACCCTCTGCCTCTGATCAGATTTACAATAGTTTCTCTGTTTCCACTTTTTTCTTCCAATCTGAAAAGGCTACTGCATCATCCTGGCAAGTGAGATCAGATCCTGGGACACTCAAATAAATCTAGGATCCTGACCCTAAGAATGAGGTTAGGGTGATTATACCTTTAGACAACTCTGAAAAAATCTGGAGAGGTGCAAGTTATTTCCAACAATCTTACACTCCATATAGTTATTCAGTTCATGGTATATATCAGATTTTTATCCCCCTTGCATAAAATTTATAATAATGCCTGAATTCGAATTTAATTTCAAACAGAGGTAAAAATCTCAAGCCTGTAAATGGTCTTATTACTTAAAAAAAAAAAAAAAAGACTATATGTTCTGCCTTTTGCTTCATCTTTTACTTGCTAATCACTTTTTTTACTTTGCTAATCAAATATTAAACCAAAAGAAACCACGAAGTTTTATTCTGCCAAATATAATTTTTGCTGTTTTTATTCAGCAGCTCTTCACAACCACCTTCCTTATGTGTGCTCTCTTACCTTTCTCATGGATCTCAGCAAAACACAACAATATTGATTCAACACTCAAAAATGTGTCTTGCAGCAAGCTGAGCTTTCTGTTGGTTTGTCAAAGACTCCCTTAACCCCCACCCCCAGCAGTGATAGCAGCTAAGTTGTCACTTAGGGAGAAAACTCGTGAAGCAAAATCGTGTTTGTGCTCTTTCAGCCTTAAAAGGGTGGGGAAAAAAAAAAAAGAAAAAAAAAAAGAAGAAAGAAGAAACAAATAATAACACACAGTCTAAAAACCACAAACACACAAAAATGGGGAAGAAAGAAAGCCCCTTTTTCTTGCACTGCTAGGTATATGGCAACCCTATAGCTGGAGATCCTAATCCTAGGCTTTCCTTCACCAGACACACTCAGCCTGTTGCAGAAGAACACTTTCTAAAATTCTTAGAGAGAAAAAAGATGATTCGAATTCCTATTTTATCCGAAGTGTTGATAATACAAAAATGAAAGAAGTTGGGTTTGGGGTGTACTGAATACACTTTTGCCCTGGTTTCCTTCATGGAGATCCACAGTGCAGTCTTGGGGCATTTGAGCCAGATGTGTTGCTGAGGGATGCAGGAATTAGAATTTAGGTTCCAGCCAGCTTCATAAATCTGTCATTCATGTGGATGCTGGAAACAGCTGAAATTTGTCAGATTATTAAAAAGCCTACAAAACCCCTCAGAGATTTCTCTTGTATAAGCCCAGTGTGTGCCTATCCCTCCACCTGGGCAGAAGTTATGGCTGGTGCCTTAGATCAGCCCATGTCCCCTTAATCACAGCAGCTCAGGAAGGACGCTGGATTTTGGATGTTGGGCAGCATTAAACAGCTGTTGTTCAAGCTTTATCCATACTTTTACAAGTATTTGTCAATTTTGTGTGCAATTGGAAAAAGTGTGAACAGAAGTGGAGGGAGAGGAGAGGAGAGGAGAGGAGAGGAGAGGAGAGGAGAGGAGAGGAGAGGAGAGGAGAGGAGAGGAGAAAAGAGGAAAGAGAAGAGAAGAGAAAAAAAGAGAAGAGAAGAGAAGAGAAGAGAAGAGAAGAGAAGAGAAGAGAAGCCTCCATTTGTCCTCTATGAATTTTCAATTTCTACCTTAACTTGTTACAGGATAAAATACAGTACAATGGCCATAACATTATCTAACTGCCCTAACAAAGGAGCAGAAGATAAGTGATTTTTGGCAAAGTGCTCTGAATTGGAAGTTTATGGCAGGCTCAAGTTTAATAATATTTAACTCATCCAAAGTCTTGGAGGCAGAGTGAATCTCATACTGAAGTGCTCTCTAGCAGACTTTCAACACTGATATAATTTAAATGCAGATATAATTTAAATGCACACATATTTTTATTTCTATTAGCATCATGATGAATATTATGTTTGCCATGTCCATGTGGGGCATATTCTCCATCTAAAGATCAGCTACACAAACACACAGCTCTCTGTTATTTTTACAGTGTATTGCTTACCCTGTTTGAAATGCAGAATTCCTACAGGGAATTCATAGAAACCCTTGTAATGCAGTAAATCCTTTAGCTACTTGGAGTCAGTTAATAGGCTTTTTAAGACTAATCACAGCTCTGTGCTTGACAAATATATCAGGATACTGCATTCACTGAGGGAAGTTGATACTGTCATTCATTATTTTATGACTTTGCATTAGACAAACTGAAATCAGGCTTCTATCTCTAATGGAAAAAAAAAGTCATTTGCATTTCTTTCTGGGAAAGGCAGGATTAATGACATCAAATACTTAGCAACTCTTCTACTCAGTCTTTAATTCAATGTAAGATAATTTACACAGTAAGAAACAACTTCTAAAGACTCTGGAACAGAAGTGGCCAGAACATTTTACACATGAGTGAATTCTTCTTAACTTGCCTCTTAAAGGGGAACTAAACACTCTAACTTTTAGATATCTTACTTTTGAAACCTCATGATAACTACTAAAAAAATCTTTGTCTTTGAGCTGTTCTGGTTTCCTTCATGTACTGAGAGTGCTTTGAGCCATTAAAAAAATCCACAAATAAATACCACATTTTTATAAGCATTTATAGGAAGAATAAACTCCTTATGACTGCAGTAGAACAGTGTCTGTGCATTATTATGCATGCATGGGAATTATTATTGGTTACCTAACTATAATAAGAAGGACAAATAAGATTGTAAAAATGTCTCACATTTAAAATTAATATGGTCTTTAGATGCTCTGAACCACTGTGCTTTGGCATAAAATTGAAAAAAAAAAAAGCCAATAATACCTCGACTTGACTTGTTAACCCAAGTCCTGTAGCTGAAGAAAATTTGTGTTGACATCAAGCCAGAATTTAGAACAGAATTATCAAAATAATATTTTTAATAATTCTGCATTTGTTGTTTCTCACAAGAAAAATGCCAGGAAGGGTTCCAGCCCTTCATCTGTGAACAGAAGCCTCCGGTGATTTTAGATAATAAGATTTATAAATTTTATCTAGAAATTTTATTTATAAATTCGATAAAATGTATAAATACATTTTATTTCTAAAATCAGGGCTGATTTCATTGCCATTGGCACAGCAGTGTGGGAGCTGCTGGCAGCATGGCAGGGCAGGGGTGTTCCAGCACATCCTTCCCCAGGGATTCCTGACCAAGGCATGGACAGAGGTGTTCTCACATCCTGTGCCAAAATCTCGGCTGAGCCCTCCAGGGCTGGCAGTGACCACCCATCTCTCACTTCCATGAGCATTAAAACTCCATTAATGAGTTCTTACACTGGCACTTCCAAGAACTTTTGGCGTGAGAACTCATATTAGCTCGGGGGTAAAAAGTAACCCAGCAATCAAAGATTTTCTCTGCTGTTTTAGCCCGAGTTTTTGCAAGTGTTTTGACAGATGTTTTAATTATCATTATCCCACTAATGCATGAGCACACTGCTGCAGCTCTGTGTTTCTATATCTATTGTATTTCTATATCTATTATATTTCTATATCTATTATATTTCTATATAATAGGTATATTATATATTAATATATATTACATAGATAATATTATATATAATATAATTATATACATATTATAGATATTATTATGATATCTATTACCTATTATCTTTCTATGTCTATTATATTTCAATACCTATTATGTTAATATATCTATGATATTTCTATATAATAGGTATATTAGATACTATATATATTATATATATTATATTATATATATTAATATAATATCTTGTATTATAATAATAGAATATAATAGAATTAATAGAATAGAATAGAATAGAATAGAATAGAATAGAATAGAATAGAATAATATATTTAGAATATATATATTATTATTAGATATATTACCTATTATATTTCTATATCTAATATATTTCTCTATCTTTTAAATTTCACCTATTTAAGTGCAAACCTCCTCGAGTGATGCTGGAGCCCGCTGGCCCCAGCTCCGTGTGGCAGCAAGCCCTGTTGAGTTATTAACACTTTTCCTGCGGATTTGCAGGAGAGCTGCTCCCTCTGCCGAGTTCTCCGTGGATCGGCACCGGCACCTGATGTCCTTCCTCACCATGCTGGGCCCCAGCCCCGACTGGAACGTGGGGCTCTCTGCCGAGGATCTGTGCACCAAGGACTGCGGCTGGGTGCAGAAAGTCGTGCAGGATTTGATCCCCTGGGATGCTGGCACGGACAGCGGTGTCACCTATGAGGTACAGGCACCTTCTGCCCTTTCCTCAGAAGCAGGGAGAGCACTTTGATCCATGGTGGTGCTGCCCATGCTTTTACACTTTTTACTCGACTAAATTTTGTTTGGCTTAAAGTGAAATAAAATTCGTTTAAACAGATAACTACGCTTCACTGTCGGTTGTTTCGATGCCTTAAGTTTTAGCTTTCATATTTTCCAGATTCTGTCCTGTGTTAGTATATAACTCTGAACTCCATATAAAGTGTCAGCAAGTTCTCTTCACAGTTTAGTTAGGCAAAACAATCCTTTTCCAGCCCCACAACCAAGGACACCGCTGCAGCTTCAGCCCCAAAAAGTGCAAACAGCAGAGAATTGAGGAGAGAATCTGGGAGGATGGGACTGCAGAACCTGGAGCTGGAATTGGACAATTAATTCCAGTATGGAAATGGATCAAAACTTATAAAAGTGTGAAAACTCCTGACTTGGGGTCTATCTTGGGTGTAGCTATGGCTGGGCTCCTGCACTGCCCAAGGTGAATCCTTTGAAGGCCTTTTAATAAATCCCTGCTTTATTCCTTTAACTCTGCCCAGCCTCTGTTCCAGGTCAGCCTCTTTAGGCAGCAGTTTTGCCTGAGTTCTTTCAGCTTTAAGGACAATATGATTTTCACCTGGGGAATTATCACAGAAGGACAGGATGGGTAAGGGTGGAAGGAAACATCTGGTCCAATCTCCCTATTTAAGCAAATATCCCCATACCAGTATGGATGTACCAAGTTCACCTCATATTGGAATTTTGCAGTTCAGCATTTCAGAGAAGTTTTAATTTCTGCAGATTAATTGTATTATTAACTATTGGTTTATTTTATAACATTTTTTTTCTTTTTGATTGCAGTCTCCTAACAAGCCTACAGTGCCTCAGGAGAAGATCAGACCTCTTACAAGCTTAGATCATCCTCAAAGCCCATTTTATGATCCAGAAGGAGGATCCATCAAGCTGGTGGCCAGAGTTGTCATTGAGAGAATTGCACGAAAGGTAGAATATATATAAGTAAAATTCTCAAGCAAGCAAGAATCCACTTTGTAAACCAAAAAAAAAAAAAAATCAATTATTTCTCCACCTTCCTTCAAAACCTACACTCCTCAACCTACCCACAGCAAAGATAATGACAAAAAAAATTTAAGCTGTCTTAAGGTATTAGTTCTCCTAATTCTGGCAGTTATTTCATCTGCTTAATTGGGGATTTCCTTTATGTATGCCTAGGAATTTGAAGAGAAGAAGGTGCTGCAGACACAGTAGTGCCTCACAATGTCCTGGTTTAACCCCTCATGGATGAGTTTCCTCTCTTCACAATCATTTTTTTTTGCAGGGGGAGCAGTGCAATATCGTTCCTGATAACATAGATGATATTGTGGCAGACTTAGCACCAGAGGAAAAAGAAGAAGGTACGTTTGAAGTTAGTTTGTGCATTGCTAATAATTTATATTTTGTTCCATCCCTGCTGTCATTTGTAGATAAGGTACAAAAATGACTTAGGAGCAAAAATTCCACTCAAACAGTGATTTAGGTTTTCATCTCTTCTGGTCTCTTCTATCAGTCTTCCCTTGAAAAGAAATTGCAGTATACCTAGGAGATGACAATAATAATACAGGCAATAAAAGAGGGAAGACTTTTGGGGTTCAAATAATTTTATTTTTTTTAAAGGAAGTTGGCAATTGACAATTTTTTTTTACTTCTGGGCTAAAATGGAGAAGATAGAATGCAGAAGGAAATAATTTATCCTATTCGAATCTTAAGTAATGATCAGCCAAGTAAAGGGAAGAAAAATGGAAGAGCGTTTTTAACATGCAATGCCCTTCCTCCTTTTCAGATGATACCCCTGAGACTTGCATATACTCCAACTGGTCCCCGTGGTCGGCCTGCAGCTCCTCTACCTGTGAAAAGGGCAAGAGGATGAGGCAGAGAATGCTGAAGGCTCAGCTGGACCTCAGTGTGCCCTGCCCAGACACCCAGGACTTCCAGCCCTGCATGGGCCCGGGCTGCAGTGATGAAGGTAACCAGCAATGCAAGGAGAATTCCTTGTAAAATTCACTTTTCCTTCAAAGTGCTCAAGGATGTGGGTGGCTGTGGTATGGCCTGGGTTGTGGCCAAGAGAAAAGTGGAGGAGAACAGGAGTGGGAGCTGTCTGTGGTGAATTCTGCAGCTCAGCAGAGTCAGGGCACGGGGTGCACAGGAGCGCAGATGAAGAGAGGAGTGAGGAGTGCAGTGGAGCACAGGCAGGGAGGAAGGCAGCACTGAAGGGATGCTGCACACCAGCTCTGCCTGCCCCACAGCTGAACACTCTCTGTTTCAGACGGCTCCACCTGCATGATGTCTGACTGGATCACCTGGTCCCCCTGCAGCGTCTCCTGCGGGATGGGAACGAGGTCCAGGGAGAGATATGTAAAGCAGTTCCCTGAGGATGGCTCCATGTGCAAAGTGCCTACTGAAGAGACTGAAAAATGTGTTGTAAATGAGGAATGCTGTAAGTATTTCATTCGGCTTCAGAAAATCCACCCACAACAGCAGGAGCACTGCCCAAACCATTTTTATGTGAGTTTTACTGGCGTCCCACAGAGCTCCATCTTAAACCCTGTGCTCTTCAATACCTTAATTAAGATTTAGATGCAAGATTGGAAGAGATACTAGACAAATTCCCACATGATCCAAAACTGGGATAAGCTGCTGACTCCCTCAGAAGCAGGGATGCTCTGCAGAGAGATCTCAACAAATTAAAGAACTGGGCAGTCACCAAACACATGGAGTTTAACACGGACTGGTGCTGGACTCTGCACCTGGGATGGGACAACCCTGGATGTACAGACAGACTGGGCAATGAGGGGCTGGGAAATGAGGCCGAGGAAGGGGACCTGGAAATCCTTGGCAAGCTGAATGTGAGTCAGCAGTGCCCTGGAGCCCGGAGGGACATCCCTGACCCGGGGGCATCAGGCACAGCAGCACAGCAGGGCATGGGAGGGGATTGTGCTGCTCTGCTCTGAGCTGGGGCAGCCCCACCGCAGTCATGGGGGCAGTTTGGGTGCCACAATATAAAAACCAGTTATTAAGCCATTAGAGAATGTCCAAAGGAGGCCACGAGGATGGTAAAGGTTCCAGAGGAGATGTGTGAGGAGGGGCTGAGGGTGTCGGGTCTGTTCTGCCTGGAGAAGGAGACTGAGGGGAGACCTCAGTGCAGTTACAAATCCTTGTCAGTGGAACAGGAGGGGCAGGCACTGATCTCTTCCCTGTGTGACAGTGACAGGACTCAAGGGAATGGCCTGAAGCTGAGGCAGGGCAGGTTTAGGTTGGATAGCAGGAAAAAATTGGGCACTGGAACAGGGTTCCCAGGGAAGTGGTCACAGCTCCAAGCCTGTGTGAGCTCAAGGGGCGTTTGGACAGCACTCTCAGGGACGTGGTGTGACTCTTGGGGGTGACTTGATGACCCTTGGGGTCCCTTCCAACTCAGCAGATCCTGTGATAGCCATGACCAATTTTGTGTCCCTTTGAACAGCTCCCAGCAGCTGCCTTGTCACTGAATGGGGGGAGTGGGACGAGTGCAGTGCCAGCTGTGGCACAGGGATGAAGAGGAGGCACAGGATGATCAAGATGACTCCAGCTGATGGATCCATGTGCAAGGCAGAAACCACTGAGGCAGAGAAATGCATGATGCCCGAGTGCCGTGAGTGTCTGCTCGAAAATCAAATTCATTTCTGACACATTGCCCCAGCACACAAACACAGCTGAACCAGGAGCACTGCTGTGTTATAAATACACACCATGCTATTGGCTTTTCACAAATATTTAATACCATATCTACAGTGTTGAAATAGCTTTTCAGATGCAGTTTTCTTTAAAATAACATAAGCTAATAAAGTATCTTTGTAGTAAGTAAACTACCTGCTTAGTTAAATAACACCCAGTAAAAACACTGCTACTGATATACCAGTTACCAGCACCAACCATCTATAAAAATTAAAAACCACAACCCTAGTTAAAACTGATAAAAAAATAAATTAAAACCACAGCCAAAAACCACACGTGCTCTAAAAAACAAATACAAAAAATAACCATATAAAACAGTTCCTAAAATATAAAAAATAATTTATTAAATTTTAAAAACCTACAATAAATCTATAAATATCCAACAGGCTAATAAATTTAAGAAGTATCTCCAAAGCAGCAGGGGTGCTCTTAGCTGAATGCCAAGCACCCAGCCATTATAACCTTTTGCTCTATTGTTTGTCTCTTATTGTCTTTTATTAAACCTTTTAAAATCTGCCAAAAAAATAAACCTCATTGTTCACATGACACATTGCCCCAGCACACAAAGAACACAGCTAAAACAGATGCAATACTGCTTCTTTAAAATAAATATATTTTTAAAAATCTCAGGGACTGTGCATTAAGTAACACATTCACTGTCAGGGTGAGAGCATCAATAAAAAAGGGTCAGTGGTTCTTGTTGTATGACCCACACAAGCCATACCTCAACAGCTCCAAGTTATGCAATCTGAGCTATATTTGACCATAAGGCTAGAATAAAACAAATAAGACAGTGCCCTCCCCTTTTAACTCATGAAAAGTTCAGAAATTGAGGTGTTTCAATCGGCCAGCCACACCCTTACTGTCGCTATTAATTTTTTAGGAAATGTTAAATTTTCATCAGAGATAATTTAAAAAATATTTTTTGGTAGACTAACTATGGAAGTTTCCCTTTTTAGACTAAATTAAGTTGACTTCTAGTTCTGTTCACTGCAACAATCCTTTTTTTTTTTTTCCCAGGAGTTAGGACTGGAACATAGCTCCTTAAACTATTAATCCCCAGATGCACTGAGACCCAGCAGATAGCAAAGAGATTTAAATCAAGCAAACCTTTCAATTTAAGTTTTAAGTTTTTCAAGTTTTCTGAGCTTCTTCAGCAGCACCATTCAGCTTGTGACAAGGAAGCATCATTGGCTGATGGCAGATAAAACATAGCACATTTTCCACCTGTGTTATTTTGTATTCCTTTATAATTTATTTATAAAAGGAAATTGTTAAAAATAAGAATTCATCACCTTTTTATTTCCTACCAGATACCATCCCCTGCCTGCTCTCTCCCTGGTCTGAGTGGAGTGACTGCAGTGTAACCTGTGGCAAGGGGATGAGAACAAGGCAGAGGATGCTGAAATCTGCTGCTGAGCTGGGAGACTGCAACGAGGAGCTGGAACAGGCAGAGAAATGCATGCTGCCAGAATGCCGTAAGTCTGGAAAATTCCCTGCCAGGAGGAGGCTAAATATGGGTCAAAATGGATCAAAAATCTATCACCACTTCTTAGCATCACTTCTTAGATAGGCAGGGTATCAACTGTGCACTGTTTTAAATTATTGTCATTATATTTATTATTATTATATTTATTATTATTATTATTATTATTATTATTACTATTATACACTTTCAGCAACTGAGAGCTGAAATATGACCCTGTCTTAAATTCTGCTTGCCCTACTTCAGCCCCTGCTAATTCCCAATATTTCTGTGGGAACACAGCTCTGCATGTTTAACACACTACAGCTCCAGGCAACTCCCCAGCAGGAAATAAGTCAGAATTATAAAACAGGGGTTATCACTCAAATGCAGCCCGTGTGCCAGGAAAGAAAGAAAGAAGAGTTTGAAATCACCTGTGTGATTCTTTTAGCTCAGACAGAGCACAAAAGAGGCTTTCTCCACCTTTGATACACCTCTGAATGGTATCACGAGGCAGCTGCAGAGAATTTTTTTACCTTATTCCATTAAAATCCCCCATTTCTTGGGTAGAGCAAATTTCTAGTTGCTTTTCAGTCTTTGTGAAGTGTGATACCCTAAGGCACTGCTGAATGAATGAGATATGATTGCTTTTAGCATCCTGTTGCCAGCTGGTTTATGAGGTTTTATCACAAATTACATTATTTTTCACAGAAAGTATTGGTTAAAAAGGCTTTTACACTGTAATCGCTCATTCAGCTTTTCTTAAATAATGTGAAATATCATTTTGATTATTATTCACTGGAGCTGTAAGTGTTAAGCAGTGCTGAAAGATGAAAACTTTCAAGATATAACGGTATTAGTGAATATGGCTTATTGCATAACACTGCCAGCAAAGCGAGGCTCAGATCTCAGAGGTAGCAAATCCTTTTTAAATATAACTCCATTTTCAACAGCTTTTCATTACTAAACAGACAGATGGGTGGGGAAATTGAAGAAGGCACAGGAGAATTATTTATATGTTTGGAATTTTAGTGATCTGCCAGCACCACTCTTGAAGAAGAAATCGAAGAGCGTGTTCTGCTAGAAATGGACTGAGAAAATTCTGACATGCAGCCTCCAAACAATTGCTGAGAGGATTGGAGGCTTAAGCAGAGTTCATGTAGCTGGGGTGTTCAGATTCACCAGGCACATCTGTGTGCTTCTGGACCCTGTGTTAAATCTTTGTGTCATTTTCTCGGTGTTTCTCATTGCCTGCAGCCATCGACTGCGAGCTGACAGAGTGGTCCCAGTGGTCTGAGTGCAACACGTCCTGTGGCAAGGGCCACATGATCAGGACGAGGATGATTAAAATAGAGCCCCAGTTTGGGGGAGCAGCCTGCCCTGAGACCGTCCAGCGTGCGAAATGCAGAGTGAGGAAGTGCCTGAGGGGAGCAGGGATGGAGAAAAGGCGCTGGAAGGAGGCCAGGGAGAAGAGGAGAAGCGAGCAGGCAAAGAAGAATTTGGATAGTGAGCAATACCCAGGTGAGTGTGAAACCACTGCTAGTGTGTTCATGGCTTTTCTGCCTTCCATGAGAGCATCTTCAGCACTTCAGCCAAGGGAACGTTTTAGCCATGCCATAAAAATCAGCCACTTTCAGGGCTTGCCCATCACCAAAAACACCCAGCCTGAGCTTAGGGCACCATGGAGAAAGTTCCTCACATCTGTCCATGTTCCAGCACTGAAAATATTTTAGGTACTCCACACAGAAGTGTGAAAAAGTTTGAACTTTACACCTGGCAAAGGACTGATTGCAGTTTCTGCAGATCTGAGTAGTAATCTTTACACCCCATCAGCTTCAAGCATTTAAAATATTTGTTCCTGAATGCAATGCTGAATTTCAAAACTGACCTAATTTCCACCTCAGAAGTCTGATTCAGACTCAGGCTGCTCCAAGAGATCTGCTCAAACTGCTCCTCCAGTGAGGGACAGTATCATCAGGTACTGGCTCCTCTAATCAACCAAACATATCTTGTGGTATAATTAACATTTTCTGGATAGGAATTACTGCAAAGTTGTGGCTCATGCTTGTCTGACATTTAATGATTTCATGATTTTATCTGTCTTTTGTAATGTAGCTGTTAAATTTCTTTTTGCTTTTTCCAGTGTTTGACAAATGCAACCTGATTATACTTAGCAGTTTCTACTACTAAAAATTTAATCAAATCCCTTCTTTTTTCCAGTTTGTAGGCTGAAACCATGGACTGCTTGGACAGAATGTTCTACCCTCTGTGGAGGTGGAATTCAGGAGCGCTACATGCTGGTAAAGAAGAGGTCCAAAAGCACTCAGTTTACCAGCTGCAAAGACAAAAAGGAGCTAAGAGCATGTAATGTCCATCCTTGTTAACAAAACACAAGGTTCCAAGAGATGCACTCTGAGCTAAATGGAAAGTCAACCTTGGTTTGTTTTTTTAGAACAACAACAACAACAACAACAACAACAACGAAATATAAAGTGTATATTAGTTTTCATTTTTTGCAGTGTGGTTTGCTTTTTAGTCTTGCTGGTGCAAGAAAAAATATTTTATAAATATTTCCTCACGGATTTATGCTGAGAGTAAGTCTTTGGTACTCCAGCCAGCCCTTAATGCATAAAAATAGTAAAGTCATGGTGAGTTATTTAACTAAAAGACAGACACATCTGTGGACATGGAATAGCCATACAGAAATACCACTTGTAAAGACATGGGATGCATGCATATTAACAAACTAAGTTAAAGTGACAGAAAGTTTCATCTGTGGGAGGATTTGTCTCTAGATTTGATTTTGAAAATCCAAAGCAGTGCCTCTGTGATTACACAACTATGCCAAGGAGTAATTTCAGTAATGCTGGTTCAATAACATTAAAGGTGCATGTTTCTCTTTTTACACTATTGGGTTAAGCTGGTAGTTATTATAATAATTATAATCCTAAACACTTTTCTGCACATGGATGCTGTGGTCCATGCAAGAAGGTCTTTTTTTCTTCCAAACTTAAAAAGGAAGTAATTTTTGCAGCTTGATAATGATGTCTGACCACCACACAATCACAGTCAAGACAGCACATACAGAAAACATGCAAATATCATAATATGTGTGCAGTCCACACTGGGTCTATCCATTGCCTGTCAAAATGGACACAGAAATAGTAGAACTTGGTCCACAGTGAAGCAACAGCTCTGCCACAGGATGTCTTCCACATGAGAGACGCTCAAAAATTAGATTCAGTTTCACAAGGAACATATTCACAGGTGAAGAGAGAGACAGGTTTAGAATAAAACAAAAATGGTAGAGGAAAGGTGAGCCAGGCTCTCATGCATCCCTTAAAACTGAAATGAAACAATGTTAGTCTTTTAAAAAACTGATTATAGATTGACACAAGATACAAAATACATTTACAGCTGTGTCATTTATGTTTTTTTTACTCAGAGTATAGAGTAATCTAAAAATTACTGAATTTGTGAGAATTACCCATTTGTGGATATCCTAGCCACGTTAAATGCCCTCCCTGACTACTTAAGTGATTAAAAAACTACCTGAGATTAGAAAAATTCCTCCTCACTCTCCTAATTGCTATTTTACCCCCACCTCCTGCAGAATTTAGCTCTCATCCCTACAGAGAGTCAGGTGTAATCAGGGAGACCCTTGGGCCCCACTTGCTATTGGAATACAATATTTTCCTGTAGTTTTATTTCCCTGTAATAATCCATCCTTAGGAGGGGAAGGGGATGGATTACCTTTGGTCCAGGCGAGGCAGCACACCCCGATGTCTCTACAGAAGTAAGAGCAATGCACTGAAAATAAAGATTGTTGAAAGCTTGAGAGAAATGAGAGAATTTTTTTTTTTAATGGCCTCTAAACCAGCCTTAAGTAATTTACTCACTTCCTTAACACTTGGTCAGTACCCTGAGGACCTGACATCAGGGTTTTAAATATTGCTGTGCACCACAACCCTGTGAGCTGTTCATCTTCCCCAGCACCCTGGGGATCCTGTGCTCCTGAGCAGCTCGCTGGGCTGGTGGCATTAATTGTGGGGCTGTTCATCAGCATTTCTCCACTGAACACTGCAAGGGCTGCTCAGGGCTTCCACAGCCTCATCCCACCCCCTCCCAAGGTATTTCCCTGCTTTCTGCAGATTTGGAATGAAGGAAAGGCATGAAGAATAATGGAACCAACAGCATTGTGAACCCTGTCCTGCTGCTGCTAAATGAAATGGGTGCACACCCATAGCCAACCAAACCAGGAGAAAAAAACAAAATACAACAAGATTTTAATGCTAAAACCAAACATTTTACTTTTTGCACAGCTTGGCTCACTTGATAATATTAATTCAGATAGTTTTCCTCCTTGTGCCTGTTCAAAAGTCGTGCAGTTTATGTTTCTACAGCACTGCCATTACAGCATAGCAGCAAAACTGCCCCTCACTAATGCATTTAGGATCTTATATTTCACTTTTGTGATCAAAAATAAAGAAAACCCAACGAAAAGAACCAGTGGAATAATATAGGTACTGGAGGAGTGACCAGCTGAGCATCTTTTGGGTGAAGAAGCTGCAGAGAAGGGCCACAGTGATCAGTGCCAGGGGCTCGGCCAGGGCAGAGCCACATCCCTGGGTGAGCTGGCAGAGGGTGACCCAGCTGAGGCCATGCACTCAGAAAAGGAATCTTTGGCCATAAAATGTGTGGCAGAGTGTTTTTAAAGGCTTTGAAGGATCTGTGAGCCTGGGGCAGAGGGAGCAGAAGTTTCTCCTGAATGGAAAAATTTGTTGGGTTCAGGAACTGGATTTATCTCATCGACCCTTACCACTTGATGGAGCTTATCTTGCAAAACTGTGCCTGTTTGAGCAAAGAATCAATGAAACCCGGTGTTGTATTCTAATTTTCACATTTGTTCCAGTTCATCACGCTGTTTTGTCTACTAAATACTCCCTTTGCCAAAGGCCACGTAGTCCAAATACACTTACAGAAAATATACAACACCTTTTGAACGTGCTCACAAAATTGCCCATTAAAACAATCCGGCATTCTTTTCTCTGTGCTTCTTACTAATTTGATTCTCCACATGTTTTGTTTTTCTCTCTCTCTCTCTCTCTCTTAGAAGGCTGTTCAGTGTGATTTCCAGTCATTTCTCTTAGGCTCATTAAAGTTCTGAATGTTGCAAATCGCTTTTTTCCCCCACCTTGTTAATAGATAAATGACAAGGTAATTGCACCGGGTCAGAAATGTGTGACCACTCCTGCTTATGTTCAGCTCTTCACACTTGTTTTTCGGTTGAAGCATTTTACAGATCACTTGTCTTTCTTCTAACTTGATACAAGAGAAACATTTAGGCTTGTTACATTTTGTACAAAAAAAAAAAAAAAAAAAAAAAAAAAAAAGCACGAACAGAAACAAACTAAGAAAAAAAAAAAGAGGTTGATTTTCTATTCAGAAAAAAATATAAAGAAAAAGCTCTGATATACAATATGTAGAAGTCTTGCATTGTTACTGTAAACTTTCTAGTAGTGTAATAGGCACTGGTAATCAGTCAATAAAAATAAGAACTGTTCTCGTTCTGATGTCCTGAATAATCCTGCTGAACTCAAAGCACAGATGTCACACCAGTTTTGTAGACCTCAACTACCAGATCTTAGCATTGTGAGTACTTTTTTTTTTTTTTTAATATACAAATGATAGAATCTTTACACATAATAAAAAAGTTAGGGGCTTAACAAATGTACAGTAGGACTCTGTTTGTGCAACATATGAGTTAAACAAAGTTTTATTTGATTGCATTTTTAGATTTCCTTTGTTGTTTTTGTTTGCTGTGGAATTATGAAAAAGCTACCATGAACATTTCTTACCAAAGTCTTGTGTAGATGTTTTGTAGCTGTCTGCCTAACACATTATTATTATTATAATTATTATTATTATTATTATTATTTTGGAATAAAGACATCTTTACTATGAATTTTACACTTGTATGCGACTCTGTTCAACTAAAATGATTATGTACACCAAAAAAGCATTTATTAATATGAGTTGAGTCATGTTCTTATTTACATTTTACTCCTCTTCAAGGTAACAGGATATCAGGAGTGAGTGGATTTTACTAGAACCAGTTTTTCTTTTCTTGGAAGTTGTTGCATCAAGGTCTTCGCCAAATACTTTGTTGTTCTTTTGAAATCACAGGGTAACTTAGGAACATCACATACTGTATTTGTGTATTACTCTCATGTGGGTTTTGTTGCTGTTGTCCGTTTTTAATAAAAGAGAATCTATTTAAAAGAACGTATTTTAAAGCCTGGTGGTAAATGAAAGGAAAATCATTTAAAAAAAGCTCTCAAAAGTCTGAGATTTTGTGAAACTTTCAGCTGATCTTTTGTGGTACTGGAACTATTTTGGGACACTGTAGGTCCGAGTGTGCCACTGATAATTACCCAGAAATCGTGGAGGTGAGGGGGGGCCACACAGCAACGCTGCTGCTCTGCAAATCCAATGTCTGTAACATCTGCAGCCAGCTAAAAGCAACCAGTGTGTTCACAATAAACTCCTCTATCCTAAAACTGAAGGGTAACCAGGCTGAGGGGAAGCTGGAGGTGGTAAATGAAATATGCTAAAAACCCCTGAACCTCTGGCTACCACGTTTGAGACACTTAGTGCTCTTTGCTGCAGGTGCAAACACATTTAATTCTTTTATTGCAACAGTGTCAACCATGGGAGTCAGCCACTTCACTCCGTGTTGTGCAAAACTAAGCAATTATGTTGAGTTGAATGGTGCTGGGTTCTGTGTCCTTGTCTTGGTTTGAAAGACAGGTGTCTGCTGAGAAAGGCAGGA